CTTGTATTCAAAAAAATGGTTTATCCCTATTTTTTGTTGAGTAGTTCAATCACACTTCATTCGCCGCCAGCCGCGCAGGAACTTCGATGAAAAAAAAAAAAGCTATTATTTCAAACTAAAAATCGTTTAGACTCGAACAATTCAATTGTTTCCTTGGATAAATGGAAAGAAAATAAATTTGTGAAGAAGTGGTAAAACACACGTTCAAGATCATCGAATCTGAGAGCAAAATTTCCACAAGGACTTTAAACATTGAAGTAATTGAGGGCTGTAAAAAATTGTACATAAAAATTCGTTATCTCCAATAACACCGGAATATTATCTGAAAATATCATTGCATTAAACCAAATTAACAAATGTCCATTGAGTACTTCTCATAAAAAATTCCCTCGCAAAGCAATTACTCAACGAAATAAATCCAGCTCTCACAGATTCAGATGAATCTCCGAGGAACAGATCTCATTCTATCACTCCACCACTAAAAAAATTTGAAAGAGAAAAAAAAAAAGTATATAAAATGAAGTTAGTCAAAATCGCACATATGCTAAAGAGAAAAACCAGATAATGGATATCACACAGAAGTCAGTCGCACTCATTCGGCTCTGAGGTGATCACACGCATAAACCCAGCTCACGCGCCGACGATTCTGCATTGACGGTGATAAGTACACAGTCTAATCAGCAGTTAATCATTTGTTAATGTCTCACTTATTAGTCTCTGCAATTTTTCTACTTTTTTTTTAAACTTTTTTCAGGCACACTCGTATCACCAGACCTCTCCTAGACAGGGCTCTCTTGTATTCTCTTGTATGATTTATCATTTTTCGATTAATTTTCCTTTCTCTTTTTCTCATTCACTTATTTGGCAACATTATCGACTTGCACTCTCAATTGTATCCTTCATCCGTCGTCGGCCATCCAATCAGCAGTGGACCACAGTTCCTCCCTCATTAAATTGTTTATGCATTTATTTATTTCAGTTTCTGACGCAACACACACTTCTTGGGGGAAGGGCCCAGAGGGAGAACAACGTGCAGACTCATCTCATCATCATCATCATCAATAAATCACCATTTCTCTCATCACCTCGTATTCCTCATCCTCATCATCCATTTTTCCAATTTTTTTTTTCTGATTTTTCTATGTTTTCCTGTCTTTCTCTCTCTCTCTTTCTCTCTCGCTTTTTTACTGGGAAAATCTCACGCACATCCATCTACTCGCATCCGCACCATCCAATCTTGTTGTCTTTGTATTGTGTTCGATAGGTTTCTAGTCAAATCAATTTGCACGAGAGTACATTCGTGGGGTGATCTGCAAACAAAAGCGGGCCAGGTGTAATTAACGAGCTTTTCAGGGGGATAATCGGTTGTCTGAGGTGAAATTTTTAGGGATTTTTCGATTTCTGGAGGAGACATCGAGGTTTCGGGATGATTTTTTTCGTATTTAATTGTCATTTTCAGAATTATCGTTGATTAAAAAAATTATCCCAGGAATCTCATTGAAAATTTGAAAATGCGATTCCTCCCGTTGACGTGATAATATTAACCTTCTGAAATAAAAAAAGTGACGTTTCTTTTCAATTCGAATATCGAATGAAAATTCTTCTATATACAATAGGATAGCGATTGAAATATCTTCATCATTTTAATGCTAAAAAATGAAATGCAAATCGTCAGTTGTGTACTTAAAAATAAATCAATAAAAAATTTGTCGACATTGAGAGAGCGTGATCCCGAACCATTCAATGCTTTTCATAAACAAAACTCATTAATTCAAAAATCACATAAAATAACGATGTGAAGCGCGTGGTAAACTGAAGCTTCTTGAAGTACATGAATATCAGAAGTAACTTATTGCCAAGAATCTGCAATTCATATTTCGCTTTAAGATAACTTTACAAAAAAAAAAATCTTCGATAGCAACAGGACTTTTCTACAAATATTTATCAAAAGTTGTACAAATCAATAATCAATCCATTAAGCCGTTCTATACACGAATTGAAAACGGATGGTTAAATAAATAATTAGAATTCGTTCCGATGGTTTTAATAGCTTCCATGTCCTCAGAATTTCGTGAAAAATTTTCCACAGAAGAATTATTCAGTTTTCCTCGCATTTCTCTAAAGAGAGCCGTTCATACCGCATCACACAATACTTGACCTTCCGCCGAACCCATGACCCCAATGAAAAAACTCAACTCACCAACTTGACGTAGAGTTAGCAGTATTCTTGGCCTTTCGAATTTCCTTAGTGGCCCAAGTAGCCAGAGCCCTAGCCTTATTGACCCTGGCCCTCCTCCCCTTAGTGAGTAACTCAGTAAGAGGCTCCGTTTCTACCATGGGTAGAATTTTGGCTCCAAACGCCACGACGAGATCCCCAAGCAGCCCAATAGCAGCAGACATAGCCTCATCCGAGTGCTCCTTGTCCTGTGCAATTGACGTGATAAACTGAATAACAAATGGAACATGAGGCTCTAATAGCGTCACATCAGCATTGGGAGCCCCTGGCACTTCATTCTCCCCTTTGAACCCTTGAATAATCCCTGTGTAAGCCTCCAAAACTCCCGCCCTCAACTCATTCAAATAATCAATCATATCGTAATCAGTTCTGTCAACATTAGCCTGAGATGCTTGTGCCAAAGTCTGGAGTACCACATCCAAGTACTTCTTAAACTCAGGACCGATACTCAGAGCAACATCTCCAAACACTGAGAGAATCTGAGGCTTGACAGATCGATGGACAGACTCATTCCCTAGATTTTCAAGCAAAAGCATCATGATCTCATCGCAATATGGCAACATCTTGCCCTTCAGAGCTCGACAAATATCTCCAGTAAGCCCGACTGCAGCTCCACAGACCTGATACTCAGCATGATTCTTCAACCCAAGACACAAAAATGGTTTAAAGGCGTCCATATACTTCAAAAAACCATCTCCAAGGCCCTCCACCAATGTCGACACTGCCATGAGTGCATCCTCTTGCACACCACCAACCTTTCCTGAATTCGAACTGAACATCGACAACAAAGCATTCATGATAGCATCAGAGATTCTTGGAGCGTCCTCAGGAGTGACTTTCCTCAAAACTGATTGGAGAGTTGCGCAAAGGAGAGATTGGAGATCATGGTACTGAGCTCTGTCAGAATGATTTTGGAAGTGAGTCTCCATCTGGAGAACCTGCTGAAGTCTCTCTAGGATGACCATCGTCGTCTTTTGAACAGTGACGTAACAATCCTTGGGTGAGTTCTTCACCATCTCCATGAGTGCTTCGTAAGCTGCTGATCGTAGGTTCGCTTGTGCTCCATCAACTCGATCGGTGGTTTCTAAGAGTCTCTGAACAATGTAATCAAAGAACACTGACATACAGTACGTTTCAGGTTGCTGATCATCCCCAGCTTCAGCAGACTCGTAACTAGCCTCAGCTAAACCTGTAAAAGCCCAGCAGACATTTGCTGCGACTCTGGGTTCTGCGTTGAGACCGTTTGCAAGAGATTCCAATAGAGGTTTCAAGTACGTTGGATTTATCGCAGCCTCAGGAATGATCTCGCAGATTCTACCAAAGGTCCACGCCGCTGTATCTCTCACCACGACACTCACGTCATACATTAACTCGATTAATGTCGGCATGGCTTGCTCAACAAGTGGTTTCAGGGTCGCTGGTTCTAGTCCACCTAGAATTGATCCAAAAGCCATGAGAGCTGCGTCCCTGTACCTCCAGTCTGGATTCTTAATGTTCTCCTTGACGAAGGGCAAGACATGAGGTACTATGTTCTCTTCACAGCACGATGCCAATAACATCAAACATACACCAGCTGACTTGGATGGATTCCAATCGTCCTCGTCATCGAATTCCTCCTGTTTCGTAAGTTTTTGAATCAAAACTGGCACGAGATAGACAAGTGCACCTTTGGCATAATGACGAGATACTTTCGAAGGAGGGCGCCCTCCCTCACAAGCTTCACCCTCTTCCATCGATAGATCTACCTCTTCATCAGCTACATTTGACCAGAACTCGATCCCCTGCAGAGCCACTTCATCACTGTCCGACCTCATAGCTTCTAGGGTTATTGGAAAGAGTGCAGGCCCCATGTAGGGCTCCATAAATTGATAGTAAAGGGACATAATTTTGACAAGACACTGCAGCGCTGCCACTCGTATCTGTGTATTAGTGGATTGGGTTGTTTCACATACAACTTCCATGATGAAATTTCTCTCTGACTCAATCTCAAAGTTCCCTTTTGTGAATTCTAAGGAATTGTAGAGGGCCCTTGTGGCTGCTAATTTAACGTGATTCGAGGTGCTGGAGCCCTTCATTCCGTGGATGATGGCAGTGAGGATCTGATTTGATTGGGAGACAAGGACTTCGCTATCAATCTCTTGGCAGATGTAACCAATGGTTTCTAGGGTCGCTTCTTTCATCATTTCTGTGCTGTTTTGGTCGGCTATGTTGCTGACGAGGAGGGGAATGAGTTCTGTCCATTGGTTAACTGGTAGCTCAGCCACTGCAACGTAAGCGACACACTGAGCTGCTGAGCTGGGACGATTAGTCTCGGTACCCAAGGCTCCTAGGATATTCTTCTTGATGTATTCCCGGGTTTCTACCGGAATTGCCAGCCATCGCTGTTGGAATTGGGCTTTTACTGCTGGATCTTTGGAGGTCAGTTGGTTCTTTAGTTGAAGACCTGCGGCCATGCGGGCCACTGTACTCGCTGCTGTCGTGCCCAGCACGCCTGACAGACGTTGAACGAACTCATGCTGGAAGAGGCACATTATTAGAATTTTTTTCTGGCGGTAGTTCTTAGGTACTTTGGTACCATGCATTGCTGTTAAAGAGTTATTCCTAATATCTTCCTCTTTTTCAACTTTCTTACAAATTTGTGAAGAACAGTTGATGAAATTGGCATTGAAAAATATACCGTTTTTAAGTATTATTATTATTCAATGTGTCATGAAGTTTCCAATTTTTCCACGTATTCACTAAATTTTCCTAGAAAATTAGAAACATGAAGGCACGACTATAAAAATTTGTGAGTCACTGCATAATGATAGAATCTAAAAATGCTATATCTTTTTCACGTCAATGTGATCGACGACTTCCCAGAAATTTATAAATAAAAAATGTGAAGATATCGGCAATAACTCCTTAAATTCACAGCGTTCCACAGACACTAAATTCGTTCTGCTTGGTTCTGTTGGATAGATTATAAAAAGCTTATCAAAATTTAAATTACTTCGGCCTCCCCTTTTTTAAGATATTGTTAAAAATGAAATTCACAAATTACCAAATTTTGGTAATCGTTTTCGAATATATACTAGCATAGAATTTAAATATGGTAGCTTTAGCATTTACTACACAGTCAATATTAATAATTACTTCGGAAGATTGTCCAAGAGCTTTAGGTGATTACTTACAATGTTCGCAAGAGCTGCTTGCTCCAAAAAGTTTTTCGCAGCCTCCAACTCATTTTTGTCTGGAAGTAAATTAATAGTTATGTAATAATAGAATGAAAAATCATAAGCTCATTAAAAAAATTTCTAGTATTAAAATTTTGATTGATAAAGGATCAAAGAGATTTAAAATAATTTCTTTTTATAATTCTTTTTTACTGACTAATGTGATGAAATTGGATAATTACAGTTGTTCAATATATTAATAATTCAGAAGTACAGAGGCACAACGATTTATTGCGCACAATTATTGTAGCGGTTTTAGTGTTGATTAAAACCTGAATTTCACTGGGAAAACAAGTAACCTCTTCATAAGTTTCTTTTTGCGCAATTCTAGGAAAAATAATATATATGAAGAAGTTTCTCATCTTTTAATTTCAATATATTTTCTCATGACTCAATTAGTAACATGACAAAACTAGTGACACGTTTCCTGCAGTAGTTTACAAGAAATGTCAGTTGGCGTATGAGAGCTAGTGAGATTTTACCATTAACTTTTTCATAATTTATTCCAAGTTATTTCTTTAATGAGAGATTTAAGGGAAATGTGAAAAAAAAAAAATTCCACCCACAGAAACTGATTTTTTTCGTTTTACACCCTTAGATGATTCATTCCGGAAATAACCCCCCTACAATGGAAAATCCCTCATTCAAATTGCAAAGTTTAACTCGACTGCAAAATACATTAATTGGAGTCCCCCTACGAGGGCCCCTTAGCAACAAGACCCGCCGAAAAATTCACTTCCCGCCGGCTGAAATTCTTATCTCAATCTGAAACCTCTCCTCTCCACCATCGAGATATTCTGTCTATTTTTCTCCAAAAAATGAGTGCTTTGCCTTTCTCCATTAAAAAAAATTTGCAAAAAATCCGAAAAACGGAGCGAATCCATAAGTCACATCATGGCGCATCGAATTTGCCTACGGGAGCATTGAAAGAATTCGAGGACTTTGTCAAAAAAAAATTTACAATAAATAATAAAGGAAAAAATATACAATTGAATGTCTGGAGCACATGCCCTGAATGGACAAAGACGAATGACGACAAAGGGGGAAACATAACCGTCGTTATACCGGTGTGTGTGAATGTATTGAAAATATCCGCAGATATAGTCACCCACCTCTAAAGCTTCGCAATCGTTAAAATAACCTCAAATAAAAAGTGACTACCAAAGAAATAAGAGACCATATTTGCAACGAATAAAGAATCTCACCTGGTGATACAGTTTTCTCTAAGACCTGTATCAGCTGAATCGTCGTCTGATCCATCTGCATTTTAGACGCTCGTTACTTGTCGTGCACGTTTTAAGATAAATAATAACGCTGGATCAGTCTAAAATTAATGATACTAATTAATGATTTGTGCACAGATTAACTTGAAGGATTAGTGTATGTATTTGTCGTTGGTTTTATAGTTGAAACTCAATGGTTCTAGGGATTTGAGATGTAATAAAAGGTGTCTCACCACTCGGAGTCGCAACAACGACCGGCAGATTATCCACATGTAGCCACCGAAAACTCACTGCCAACTCGAGAGAGAAATTGCCTTTTCTCCCTCTTACCCCTTCCAAAATCCAAACACCTTCTCCCTTCAGGGTGGGTTCCTCAAACGGCCGTTACAAATTTCAGTTACAGCTGTCGCCACCAGAGGTCCAATAGTCTCAATCCTCTCAAATCCTCTCAATCATCAATCCATTTCATTTTCTCTTGCGTTCATTCACATGCCTCTGTCTTTCTCTTCAAGTCCCAAAGTTCCTGCAACGATACAAAATATTTGCACAATTTATTCAACTGCGTAAAGTCGAAAATTTTTTCAAGTCCACAGGTTTAACAAAAATTTTCTGGTGATATTTGTCTTTTTTGGATAATGTTGACATTTTTTATTGCAGGGATTATGTGGGATTATGGCGGAACTACTTTCTTTGCATGGCGTATGGATTTGGTCATCTGAAATGGCGGCATCAGGCGATGAAATGAATAAAATTGATAAAACGTGGAGGGGGATGATGGAGGAATAAAATTGATAAAACGTAGAGGGGGATGATGGAGGTGGTGATAAATGACAGCGCCTCTGTTATTTATTTCAAATATGCAATTGGTTTGATATATATAGGATTTTGTGTTATTACATAAGGGATTCTGTTGAGGAGAGTTTTGGGTGGTTGGAAGAGGGAAGTTATACCTTTTTCGCAAAATTTAATTTGTGCATGATTGAAGGATTGATTCGACATATTTGCGGCTTGTAGATAATAAACAAATCTTCAGACAGGAAAAATCCTTTTCCACATATGCATTGAAGAGCAATAGTTTCGAGAATAATTTCCAGAATAAACAATTGAAAATAAAATGTCTGAATACAATCATAACACGTGTGATGATTAAAAATATCTGTTTTTATTCCACAAGTTGTGCAAAAAGACTCTGAAGATAAATCGTTAAAAAAGATGAACATTTACAATTTATCCTTTTTTATATAATTCAGTATTTTGGATACATTGGGTTTGAGCAAAAGGCAAAGTGAGCGCATGATTTCGAAATAATTGATTATCGAATTTGCAATTGTAAAAGCGGAAATGATGAATCTTCTGATAAAGGAGAAGTTCGGGTTTTTTATTAAGGATGTTCTCCCCTCTTTTAGCTAAAATTACCTGTTTGTCGAGGTTTCCGACAAATTGTTGACCGAGTTGGCCCGAAAAATTACATTTTTATTGCATTTAATCTTTCATTAAATAATGACAAACTGCGAAAACGCATTTTTTCGCGTCGATCGGATCAGTAAATTCGTTAAAAAATTTAAAAAACTGTGAATTTTAGCGAAAAGGGGACAGAACATCCAAAAATATATCCAAAAGAACCCCTGGGAGGCGCTGAAAATTATTTCAAAAATTCGCTAATTAAAATTTAATTAAATTAAATTAAAATTATTTCAAAAATTCGCTAATTAAAATCGTTAATCTCTTTCATCCTCGAATTCAAGTTTCGGACGTGTCATATTATCGACAGATGTTAATTAATAGATAGGGGGCACTAGGTACCAGACATGCGCGCAAATATTCCACAACCGCGTGGGTTTAATAGATTTGATTACAAGTTCGATGCGCTTGCGCTATTCCCAATAAAGAAAAAGGTCATTAACGATATCTGAAAGAATTAAAAACACTCCCCCATTCTAAAAATCCCCCAATCAACCCACAGACCTAAAAAAAATGTGCAACCCCTCTCAACACCGAGCCGTCAGCCTGAAAATTAAAAAAAAAAACACCTGACGCATGATCAACGCAAGAGACTTTACCCCCGCGGGCTTTTCGAATCGCGAACTCCCGCAGTTATTAATAGATCCCAAAGGAGATTACCACAGCTTAAATGAATCATCAGTTTGAGTGTTAAAAAACGAGAGACACCCATTAGCCGACGAATACCCGAAAAAATATGGTACTCATTCAAATGTCATGGGGTGAACCAATGGGGGTATGTCACCTTGGAGCAGTCGCACATGACAATCAGAATTCCCTGGTTTAACCACCGACGAGAGCGCATTCTCAACGGGCAGATCGATGCTGGAAATAGCCCAGGCCCCCCCAAGTACGAGGTGAGTCGCCTTCGCCAAGTGCCAGAGCCTCCTCGGCTCTCTTCGTTCGGTGGAACATAAAAATAAAAGAGGTCCGCTATATATTTTTTAAAAAAACTCCATCAAACACCCCTTAACGGATAAACAGACAAATTGAAATAAGTGAATTAGTTAATAATTATCAACTTGTGTGTAAGACTCGGACAACCAAACGTGCGCCGCCTCCACGATCTCCACTTTTTCACTCTCTCTCTCTCCATTATCTGTAACATCATCATTTGATTGAATTAATATCATTCGGACTGATAATCATTCTCCCCCTCTGGTCTCATGGTGGTAGTTACGGGATGATGAAGCTAAGACAATGTGCAACGTACAAATGGGGCTCATGAGGCTTGATTCGTAAGTACATTAACACCCAATGGGCTTTCGAGAGGACAATGTGGGATACCTTGCCTGGCTGAGGGTAGATTGCCCACCCACCTTTAGTCACCCCTTCGTTGCATCAGTCAAATGTCACGGGAAGGGTCGATTATTGTTTTACCCCATCGTGGTGGAGACGTTTTCTGGTCTATTTAATCCTCATCATGTGTGATTACTGCGCCCTTGACTGTGAAGACTGCGGGTTTCTTCGCTGATGGTACTAATGCCAAGTTCGTTGACGCATTATCTGAAAAATCAACCCCTGGGTGTCAGTATGAGTTTTTATGGACGGTTTATGTACGGTTTATGTACGGTTTATGTACGGTTTATGTACGGTTTATGTACGGTTTATGTACGACTTTTGTACGGTTCATGAGAAATCGTCATGTTTTTCGGTGGAAGTAATGAGAATAATTTGTAAGCCGGCTCGCCATCCGGAGATGTCGACACGAGACGTAAAATCTCCCCTAGAGCATTCCCCCACGGTTTACCCTATTCTCAACTTTTCTCTTTGGCCCCACCGGCAGTTCGACTCCCAAGTAACGATCGATAATCTCGAAACAGCATGTTTGACGATTCCTCGAACGCCGAAGTGGGTCAAATTCGGTTGTCACCATGCCTTTGAACAAGTGCATTCACCCGACCAACTGTAATTTCATTTTTCAAATGGAGTTCCTTGAATTTTCATTATCTTTCCAATCGGTTCTCTTGAACAGTTTTAAAAAATTCATCTATTAGCCAAAGTCGCGGCTGTCGGAATGCGAAATTATTTTTTTTTATTAAAAAATTCCTCTCCAATTTACTTTGACTACATTTCGAAATCCTCACGAAAAAAATATATGTACTGATAATTCTAGGTGATATTTAGGTGATATATTGGTTTTAGCTGTAAATATCTTTCATGTAAATGTCAGATATATGACGAACATATTTGCGCGTATAATTCATCTATGTTTATATATATATTTTTACATAATTTTTACTTTACGCTGACAATGAAAATGAAATGCCAACTAAATATTAAAACCATCATTTCTTTCAAATGATTTTTCCCATTCATCCATTCACTTAAGAATGTTCACACTTCCATCCAAAATTCACATTTTTCAAATTTTTCTGTCAAATTACTGATCGGATTGACACAAAAAAAAATACCGCTTTTGCTTTTTGTAATTATTTAATGCCTCGCGAAGTTTCATGATGACACAATAATTTTCACGTGTTGTTTCTACAGTTTTGATTCTTTTTAAAAGTTTATAAAAAATACTGGGAAATCTTCACACCATCTTGAAACTCCATATGAGCCATTAAATACCGAGAAAACGGAAGAACGTTATAATTTTCCACGCCAATCCCATCGTAAATTTGCCAGAAAAATGAAAAAATCGTTAATTTTTGTAGAAAGGATGGAGAACATCTTTAATTCTTGAAGGAGCTGGGGGGTGGACGGGCCGTTTCATTCTCGTACAATCAAACTGTTGATTATAAAGAAAGGACAAGGGAAATAGGGAAGATAATTTATGTCTTGCTTACTCGTCCTGCTTCCACTTCAGTAGTTACGGTATCGATCACAATGTACGACTTTGGCCGGGTTCTCTCTTTCCGGATAAGCTTGTCGTACTCTTGTATCTGAATCTCCAACATTACCTCACAGCAAACCTGACTCTGCAAAAATTAATTTCCGTTGTTGCATTGATCGTGTAAAAACATGAGGAGTAAACATACAAATTTTTTTGATATCGTAGCTGGCGTGCGGTTAATTAGTGCATTGAAAAAGTTTGGGAATGCCCAGGGGGATGTTTTATTCGAATATTTTAATATTAATTTATAACAAAATTTAATGCGCAAAAAATACATAATATGTAATTTCCTGGAAAAGGCTGTCGCCGAATATTTTGGGTGAGGAGAAATTTCCGGTTTCACCTAGAGATCAATTAAAAGAGAATCACGTGTGTGACATTAGAATACAAAAATCTAATTGTTTTCCAATAAAATTTTGAAAACGTTGAACCGAAAAATAAATTTGCAAATCCCATTTTTATTTTCAACTCTCTTATTTCCGATTGAATAACTATCCGATCGATAAATCTCGCATCTTTACATTCGAAAAATTATCCCAAATTCTGGAGCCGAGCAATAGATTTCGTCAGCGCCTGAGAGAACGAAAAAAAATAATTCAGCACTATAATCCGACCTCATCCCCGTAGTATTGTTCCCGATCTCCTAGATTTAAACTTGTATTAATAGAACATGTTCATTGCCTGTTACCCCAGCTATCGATTGATACCACCCGCACGCGTTCCATTTAAAATATCCAACAGGAATTTTCGCTTCTGAATGAAATAATCCCATAGCACATTGATCCAAAGGTTTTCATTTAAATTCATAAGGCGCACGTCCCCTTGAGAACAATGCGGGCCTGTTTGTACTTCCACTCCCCTATATCACACTAATCATTAAAAAGAAAAAAAAAATCTCCAGGAATAATGAAGCCTTTTAATTACAGAGGCCTCCCCCCCACTGCGCTAGGTCTTAGAGGATGCACAAGCTAGCCAAGGGTCTCAAGAAGAAAAAAAAGTCGAAGAAGGGTAAGAAGGGAGCTGAGGAGGACGAGTTTGATCCAGAGGAGCTTGAGCGTTATCGGCGTGAACGGGCAGAGGCCCTCGAGAAAGCAGCACTAGAGTCAACTGGTGAACAAGGAGCTGCAGCTGGCTCCGACGAGTGGAAGAAATTCCAGGCCCTAACAGCTGGTGTTGATGATATCCTGAAGAAGACCCAGGGTGATCTAGATCGAATAAAATCCACTTCGTTCTTCCAGCGGGTGGCCCCTGTCGTTGAAGAGAAAAAGCCTGAAGAAGATCCTGAAGTAAAGAAGAACCGAGAGAGACGGTACCTCGGCTTCGACAAGGAGGGAAATCCCATCGAGCAGGACGAGACAGACGAGGGAAACAAGAAGAAAGATCAGTTGACTGTTTCAGAGGAGGGATTTGTCGAAGTACCGGAGGATGAGGATGAACAGGAGGACTCTGAAGAGGAAGACATCTTCGATACAACTTATGTTGACGTTCTCCAGAATATCGATGTTCAACTAGCTTACATTCCTGAATCACCAACTGAGGAAGAAGCTGGTGACGATCCGTTTGACACTACAAACGCTGACAAAGTTCTCAAGACTGTTGATAAACGTGGTAAGAAGGTTGTGAGCCTTGGTAACGCTGTTGAAGTACTCTCCGGACGTATTGATCACGTGAGTACGTGTAAGATATCAAGGCCCAGGAGAGTCAAAGCCCAGGATCTCCTTTTGGGAGATGATGATGATTTTGATGGTCTTGATGTAACGCCGGAACCGGTTGAGGTTGAGAAGTCACTCCTCGATGATGACACCGATCTTCCGGATGTGCCTATTGATTTGACTAATCTGCCACCAGTTGCCAATTTACCACGTCCAGCTCCAGAGGTTGATGCTGAAGCAGAGAAGCCTGCTGAGGTACCACTCGACATTTCCGAGTTCGAGGTGCTAAAGGAGAAGACAATTCTCGAAGAAATCCCGGATTTGGATGACGATTTCGATCTCGATGGACCGAGTGACGAACCCGTGCGATTAGAGGAGGCAGATGATCCATTCGCCGAGAAGGAAACTGGAGACATTGTACCTGAAACTGAGATAATCGAGGTCAGTTTTGAAGCAGCGACATTTGTCAACGAGGACGATCCCTTCGACACCGGTTTCGCTGAGAATTTGATACCCGGTAAAGCCGAGTTGAAGTTCATTGAAAAAGAGCTTGAGGAATTACCAGAGGCTGAGGTATCTATTTCACTGACGGATCCTGCTGGTCTCAGGAGGGATTACGAGACTGGTCTTTTAACGAGCCAACAAAACACCACTTCATTCGCCGCTAAGAAAGATCTTCTCGGTGGTTCCACAACTGATCTCAGTGAGCTTGTGGAACAACCGATCGCACCAGTGGAAGATATCACCTACACTGATCCATTCGACACATCTGGAATCCAAGAGCTTCCACCGGGACAAGCTGAGCTCAAGTACCTGGAGAAAGAACTCCTCGGTGACAACAGCCGTCAGCACGTTGATATCCTCGACGACGACGACTTTGATCCACGTGAAGGAGAGACACCAGCACCAGCTCCAGTCGAACCGGCCAAATTCCAAGTGCAGTTTGATACAGAAGAGGAAGACATCGTTGTTCCCCCTCAGGGAAGAAAACCATCCCGGCCCGAGGCTCTGGGTCTTGCGCCAACTAAAACCGTCGCCTTTGAGCTACCAACACCCTCCCAACGTCCAGATTTATTAATAACTGGAGACGAGGAGAAATCAATAGCCTCGAAGCCATTAACACCGTACTACACCCAAAAGTCACTCGAAGACGAGCTTCCTGAGGACGAGAATTTGGAAGAGGCAAATGCCGATCCCTTCGACACGAGTTTCGTATCGAAAGTGACTCCTGGCAAGACTGAGCTCAAACTCATTGAGTCAGAACTTCTGAAGGAAGAAGCCAAGTTGACTCACAGCATCAGTGACTACGAATTTAATCCGAGAAGTGAACCAGAATTGGGTAGGCGTCAGAGTGACTTCGGGCCCACGACACTTCGCCCTAAAAGTTTAAAACTAGGTGAAGCCGACCTTGCGCTCATTGAAGACACCGAGGAATCTAAAAATGCGTTCGAGGTGAATGAGGCTGTCCACAAGCGAAAAAAATTCGAGTCAAAACGACAAGAGAGTCTTCTGGATGCTGAGGTTGCAGTTGATGCTAAACCACTCACTCCAAGAATAGAATCCAAGGTCATCGAGGAAGAAGAGGAAATTTCGTACGTCGATCCTTTCGATACGTCCATAGCCAGCAATATTTTACCGGGCAAGGCTGAGCTCAAGCTCCTCGAGAGCGAGCTAAGCCAGGTGTCAGCTCATCCCATCCCTGTGAGGATCAATAAGATTGACCTTAACAAGGTATCAGCCCCACCTCTGCCAGTTCTAGACGACGAGGACGACTTCGATCCACGCGCTGGTGAAATCAAAGAGACACCAGATTTCTTATCCATCGACGATCAAAACTCGGGGGATAAAGTTCTCACACCTCTCCAGAATTCTCAATTAGAGGATATAGATCCCTTTGACACGAGTTTCGCTGCTATTGCGCCCGGTAAAACAGAACTGAAACTACTCGAGTCTGAGTTGATGGAGAAATAACGTCCATAAGACGTTTCATTAATTATTCAAAAGTTTTTATAAATATTCAATATGGATTCCAAAGGGGGTAATCCTTTCTTGATGGATGACTACCAAGCGGAGCATCCTCCACAGCAGTCGAATCCATTTCTCCAAGATTTTGCTGAGCCAGTGGCATCAGCCGGAGAGAATCCGTTCTTGAATTTTTCAACTGAACCAGCTTATCAACCACCCACGGACTCAACAAATCCGTTTGCAATCTTCGAGCCAACTCAGGATGCCCCACAATACATTCCACCCATATCAGAACCGGAGTCGTTTGCAGCTCACGAGCCGGATTTATTCGGCGTAGAAGAGAAGCCAACGAGCCTCTTTGGTACTGAAGAACCGGAAGTCTTCCAAGGGGAGCCAGTGGCTTTCAGTCCACCTCAGGAACCCGTGGAATTCAGCCCTCCCCAGGAGAAGGCATCACCACCGAAGAATGGAAAACCAATTCCCGCAAGACCTCCACCGCCACCGAGACCCGGACCACCTCCGGCACCACCCCGCAACACCAAAGACTTGATCCTCTCTGTAACAGGTGCTATGGACGCAACGTCAAACCATCTGCTGGATCGATTACAATTCACCAGGACGCCCAGTCCCACCCTGATGCATTCACCGTCGCCAACGCCCGAGCACAGCGTAGCAGATCTTCTCGATGTTGATTCCAACGTACCAGATTTACCGTCGGATACTCATCCGGAGACATCACAATCGCAAAATATTCTGGATTTGTTCGATGCACCACAGCCTGAAGACACAGCCACATCGATGTTCTCAACACCAGTTAGCATGGATACAGTAACTCATTCTGTATCAAGTACAGATACGATATTCTCGACTAGCGTCACCGATACCTTCAGCCAAGGCCAAGAGAATCCATTTGGCGTTGTAGAATCAATCGCTGAAGCTACACTTCTAGAAGAGGCACCTATTGCAGAAGCAAAGAGGCCATCGATAGACGTCACAGCTTCAACGACAACTTCAGGTTTCGATTTTGCCTCTGAAGCACCACCAGAAGTGGTGCCAGAAGCTATTTCTACAGCAGTAGAATCAAATTTCTTCAGCGCACAAGAGACAACGGCAATACCAGCCTCGACGTTCTCGAGTACACCAGCTGGAATATTCGGGGGCGAGCCGCTCTTCACGACAGCTATCAACACTGAAACGGCTCAAGTCCCAATCGTTGATCCTCAGACGAATATATTCGCTGAGGACTATATCGGTGAATTTTCTAAACCCAGCGATGATATTGGGGAGTTGGTTTCCACGAGTCCAACACCAGCTATGGAGTTCCCGAGTTATCCGGTGGACGAGCAGCTTGATAACTTCGCAGCTACTACTAGAGCAATTGAGAGCACCGGAGATGCTTTTGATGCTTTTGCCAGCAAGTTCGATAGAGCAGCTGAGCCTGAAGCAACTAGTGGTGATCCTTTCTTCGATGCATTTGGAGGGAGTGGACAAACAGCCATGGACACATCTAGTGATGGTAAGTGCATATATGTAGGATTTAAATGGAATTGAGTGATATTTATGAATAAATACGAAAAAAAGACTGCCAAAAAGTATTGAAAAGATAAAGATCAATTGACATGATACTATGGAGTGAGATTATTTATTAATTGACGTACAATTATTTTCAGTCTGGGGAGATTCGTCAGCTGCAGGATCAGAAAGCGCTGTAACAGGTTTCGGCGAGTCCGAGGGTTTTGATTCTTTTCTAAGTATGACAGCCCCTCCTCAGGAGACTAAAACAATCAAAAGAACAGACTCTGGGGACTCTGATGAGGCCCCCGACTTCAGTGTCTTCATAAAGCCCAAAGATGGTGATCTAGGGATGACTCACGAAGGAGGTCCAGTTCCAGTTCTCGCTCCACCACCAAAGAGTCCCATAAACTCTGCTTTCAACGACTCATCTCCACGATTCAATCCTTTTGATAAATCTGGCTTTGCACAGGAAGCAGTTATTCCAACGGAAATTCCTCAACCAGCGGAAATGACACGAACAGACTCTCAGGAAACTCCACCCACTCCTCTCTTCGATGAGGACGTCAGTCAACCTCTGGAGGACTTTCCAAGGGTGACCTACACTGGCGATGGCTGGGAGTTTCATCTCAGGCAACCAAACAAGAAGAAAATTACAGGACAGAGATTCTGGAAAAAAGTATTCGTCCGCCTTGTTTATCAGGGCGACAGCCCCACCCTTCAGCTATTCAATAACAAGGATGATAAAGACCCATTCACAGAACTACCTTTATTGACTTGCTATTCAGTATCGGAAATAGCTGCTCAACAGTTCGATCAATACGGCAAGATATTCACTGTTAAACTCCAGTATATTTTCTACAAGGAACGTCCTGGTGTGCGACCTGGACAAGTGACAAAGGCTGAGAGACTTACAAACAAACTCAGTCAATTTGCAGCTTATGCTATTCAGGGTGATTATCAGGGCGTGAAGGAGTTCGGAAGTGATTTGAAGAAGTTGGGACTTCCGGTTGAGCATGCACCACAGATAAGCCAGTTGTTTAAACTTGGATCGCAGAATTATGAAGATATGAAGACGTTCTCCTCAGCTATTGAGGAGGCACTCTTCAGGCTAGCTGCACACAGAGATCGAGCGTTAACTTATAAAATGGAGGAAGTGCAGATAAATGTTGTTGATGAAGTTTATGTAGAGCAGAATGCAGAGGGTCATGTGGAAAAGCAGATTGCCAGGGTTCGATTATTCTTTCTCGGATTTTTAACAGGTAAGTGTTATTTGCAATTATGTTCAAGTGATTGTTCATTAGAGTCGACTCAACTGATGTTCAACCCAATTAGGAATGCCGGATGTTGAACTCGGCATCAATGACATGTGGCGACAGGGAAAGGAAGTAGTGGGTAGACACGACATTATTCCTGTTGTAACTGAAGAATGGATTCGTCTCGAGAACATCGAGTTTCACTCGTGTGTGCAGCAGGACGAATACGAGAGGTCTAGAGTCATAAAGTGAGTATCTTTCTTTTAACTGATGCTATTGTTTTTTATTACTCTAACTGCTCGAACTACTCTTATTATTCGATTGACACTACTAACTGGAGTCTGACGATTGGTTTATGCTTCTGTCCTTTCTAACAATCTACAAGGTTCAAGCCACCTGATGCATGTTACATTGAATTAATGAGATTCCGAGTGAGGCCACCAAAAAATCGGGAGCTCCCGTTGCAATTGAAGGCTGTCATGTGCGTCACTGGTAACAAGGTACCTTTCTCATCCGTCAATTTACGCTATATATGAGGTATCCCGGAACAACGATCTCAACGAAATTTAAAGTGTCACTCTTTTGGGTTCATCTAGGAGGTGATCACTTTAATATTTGCCGTGGGTGTTGTTACGCGGCACCTCACGTTCTATGTACAAGATTTAAAAAGAATACTTACCGCTTTATTCATGAAATTTCATTGAACTCTGGATCTCCGAGGAAAACAAAAAGGCTATCCTATAGAATTCCGACAGAGGTTCAGCAAAAAATTGCATGACGCACCCATCGAATGATTCAAATGAATTTTTCAGGTGGAGCTCAGGGCTGACATCTTAGTCCCAGGTTTTGCTTCAAGAAAACTGGGACAAATTCCCTGTGAAGACGTGATGGTTCGGTTTCCAATCCCCGAATGTTGGATTTACTTATTCAGGGTGGAAAAGCACTTCCGCTATGGCTCGGTAAAATCTGCCCACAGGAGAACTGGAAAGATCAAGGGAATCGAGAGATTCTTGGGCGCGGTGGATACGATGGAGCCACAACTGATGGAAGTGACATCCGGGCAGGCCAAGTACGAGCACCAGCATCGTGCAATTGTTTGGAGGATGCCCAGGCTACCGAAGGAGGGTCAGGGTGCTTACACCACTCATCAACTTGTCTGTCGTATGGCTTTGACGTCTTACGATCAAATACCAGACAATTTGGCTGAGTATTGTTACGTAGAATTCACGATGCCAGCCACTCAGGTATCCCATACGACTGCACGCAGTGTCAGTCTTCAGAATAGTGACTCTGACAATCCACCGGAAAAATACGTGAGGAATTTATCACGTCATGAGTACAGGTAAACTAATTCATATGCTATTGTTAAAAACTGTCTTGTATTTTTAGTGAAGATCTCGATCTATCTATTTAGAAATGGTGAGAAAATCTTTATCTGCATAATTTTCATTGATCAAAACGAAAGATAAGAATTACGATTTCAATACTTCTGTTATATTCCGTTTACATTGTTCTATTGAATTTAGTGTAAACTCTTAGAAAGCTTTTTTGCTGTACACAATTCATGCAAGTGACTTTTCAGAAACTACAATTCTTCAATTATTTTATAAAACTTTCTCCAAAAGTACACGTACTGATATGTTCCGAATAAAAAAACTATTTTCAGGGTAGGAAGTGAATTGTTTATCAATAATTAGGGTGGAAATATAATAATTTATAAAAATGGTTGAATTCTACGTTTGACTTGGCAGTTAATGAAAAATTAAATTCCACTCTAAAAATTTCTATACTAGGCTCTTCGTAAAATACTGAAGAATGAACTCGAATAGAACTTAACTAAAAGCTCTGAGATTGACGTATTGACGTGAAAAACGAATTCTATCGAAAAAACAATTGTTAAAGTTCTTGGATATCCGCCACGATTGAATCGAGGTAAAATTGGCAATGAATAATGATACCCATCGATTTTCACAAATAGGGTTGGTATAGAGCACACTCAGGGTGAGGGTCCAGGTGCTTACGTAGCGGCAACGAAGAAAATACCAGAAGCAACGCCAGAGATTCACGAAGAGATCCACGAGCCTCCACCTCCAGCGGAATCAGACTCGGACTCCTCAGAGTAGATTTTCAAATGTGTAGAATCAACAGCAGATATCAACAGATAATCAATTTGAACTGAATAATGAATAACAAGTAAATATTGAGATTATCTAGGTGTAGGGTTTTTCAGACAGAAGGACGTGGACGTTTTATGATGGAATTTAAATCGTAAAGAATAACAGCAATCGTAAAATATATCTATATAAAGAATACATAGATTTATCGATAGATGAAGGGGAGAGGCTTATCGGGATGCAGTCGAGGTGGATTAGTTGTTGATGAAGGACAATACACAGCTTTTTATTTCAGTTTGCTTTGAGACCTGAATCGGCTGAATCTATTGCAAAGGGTAAATTACTTTGCCAATTTTTCATTGAAGGAATGACTTTTTTTCATAGATTAAAGTATACGCTATTGATTGGTTAGCAATGTATATGGGCTTGATAAAATTGAGCTTGTTAATTGAATGATATATTACTGGAAAACGTTGATTTACTTTTGTGGTAGAATTGCTAAGGCAAAATCGTGCATATCCTTATTGTTTGGGCCCTGCAGATGATCTATGCAATGTTATCTAGTCATTTTAGGTGACAGATTATATATTGTTGCATTATATACGTCGTAGTTTAATTAAAAATATTGGAGAATATTATAAAGATTGATTTAAGGATAATTGTGGACGAGTGTGGGTGAATACGAGTCATTAAAATAATCTAGGATTAAGCTAATGTAAACGAGTGCGCAATTGTAGATTGTAAGTTTCATTTTGATATTTTTGTTTTTGTTTGGCAAGAAATTGTCACGTTCTGAGATTCTGAAGAGAACCCCAGCTAAGACCAAAGATGTGAATTAGTAAAATATGCATTTTAATGAATGCAAATTTTGAATAATTAATTATAGGATTCATCAATACACGAGTCGCGTATTGCGTCCATATATCTGTTATATAAATTATACGCTCGCGTCTCAAAAGTATTAGAATAATCTCAAATAATATAATATTAATTTATTGAATTAAAATCTAGATTTTAATGAACAGAATAGCCGTAAGTTTCATTTGTCTTCTTTTTTGTTCTACGTTTTAACGTCCTGAAAACGGACTATCGGAGTGCACTACTCTAGTCACTAGTTCATAAGGAAGATATATTAATTAATTAATATCGAGATATATGTAAAATTATTTTGAATGCGGAACAAACTGATGAATTGATGCATTTTATCTTTCTTTAACCATTCAAGTAAAACTTCTGAAACATTCCTGATTAATAAACAAATAACGAAGTATACCAATAACGAAAAAGTGTCAGCTGTTGGCTCTACGAATTGATAGAATATACTCCAGAGTAATAAATTTTCATTTCGATTTAAAAGTTAGGAAAAAAAAAATCATAAAACATTTCTTGAAACTCGTTGCCAATGGGCGATGTTTCCAGCTCGTGATCTCAATACTTAATCGCACGTGAGAACCAGAACGGCGTTGTATAGTTAAGCTAAAAGAAAAATACTCAAACTATTATGCATGTATAGAATTAGGCGTATGTAAAATTGAAAAAGCCAAGAGAGGAGAGAAATTATTTCCAGAGGCAATTCGATCGGGCAATTTATTTCTGGCCCAGATTAACTGAGTCAATTCGCCAAAAAAAGAGACGTGTTCGTTGAATGTCTTCTCACTTTATTTTAATCCCAGAGTAAACATTGGATACCAGGTGTACTACATTTTGAAGGTTCAATTATCCGAGAGTCCATTCGAGACTAATTCGCAGACAAACAACCATAAGCATTTAATAATATAAAAATAAGTCTACAATAAAGAATGAAATTTAAAAAAAAGTTGAAGGAAATATTGTTATTAAGTATAATCCAAGGTGTACATCGATATCACGCAATAACACACTCCAATGATTTATTTTCATTTAGCTTGGAGAAAAATAAATTAACACACATAATAAAAGACCTCATAGAACTATCAATTAAGGCAATATAATAACATACAGCAGTGAAAATAAATTCGCTGTTAAAACCAATGGTGGAGAGTCCGAAAAAGCGTTACCAAATCGCGTAGCTTTTCTTCGAATGTATGTGTTACTTAACTAAACAAAAAAAAAATCCATACCCAACGATAATAAAATTCTGCTCCCGTTGTAAATGACGAAAACTGCGTTGTCATTGTTTTAGAAATAGATGAATTGTTCAATGAAAGTCATATTTATGTTCCCAATTACCAATTGAACTTCGACGATGGATAATACACGTTTCCTACAAATACGAAACAATACCTAATGCAAAATCAATGGAATACCGCAGTATGTACATGATAATGTATATCAGCTATACATACCACAAATCGTGAGAAAGAGAGTACGCACCTCATGTATGATACCTATTTGTCCTTAATCTGTGCAGGGCAAATGACAGGGGAAAAATAAGTAGTCGAGTGAGAGTGCAAGAGCGACAGAACGAGTGTAATCAATTATTTTAATTTAAAAATGGAAAAGAACGGAACATATATATGTATCTATGAATAACATGAGAATTGTTTAAGCAATTAAATTTATTGTCGTTGATTTATTTCGTCTCGGGGAATAAACGCGAAGTCAAAACAAAGAAGCATTCAGACGTTTCGATTTTCTTTCATTGCGTTTGAGTCGCAAATCTCGTGCTCTATAAAAAAGAAAATTAATGCATATTCAGTGCGGTTGTATCACTCATCGCAAAAGGTATGATTTATTATTTTTTCAGTACTTGCTTGTTAGTATCAAACGATGACG